ATGTCAACTATTCAAAAGCATTAAAAACATAAATAGATAACATACGTGAATAGTAAAATATTTAAAATTTATTCTTTGATTAAATATAATTTNGAGAAAAGTTTGGCGATTCCTAAAAATATGAAATAAAAAATAAGAAACTGTGAAAGTAATACGATCGGACAGGAATGGCAGGCGAGCCAGGACGAGTTTGGAAAAGACAACGACGGTATCTCGTTATCTGTCAATCGAGTCGAGGATTCAAGCGGACGGGTATGAAAATTTCAGAGATGGTCTGAGATTTCTAGCACGAGGGATGACGTACCCCTGTCACGCGAGGACTCGATACTCGTATCGACAGACCGACGTGGGGGCGAAATCGCAATTACATTTTCACGATGACCCTTTAAGGTCGCGAGTTCGTCCACGGGTTTTGATGGTATTTAAATTGCACTCGAAACACGGCGTTGTACGCGACTCTCTATCCCCGATGCTCGAGTGGCAAGTATTCCGGCGTTTTAATTAAGACGAAACACTCGGACGAGTTTCATTTTAATATCGTACGCCGTCGTAAATGTCATAATAAAAATTCGTTTCTTGTAACAGTCGATACAATAATTGGTTTAGCGCCGCGCGTATAACGAAAAGAATTTTATTGATTGATCACTCTTAAAGTCGTACACGTAATGCAGCTCTCGACTGCCACTCGGCCATCTAGCTACCCTTTTCACCACTCGGAGGCACCGTTCGCCGCAAGACAGGGCTTTAATTGCGCTCGGTTATATTGTGCAACGTCCACCGAGCCGAGTTCCATAAATAATGAACGCGAAGTAGGTCCGCTTTTATTCCTGCGGTGGATCGAGTTCAAAAGCGAAAAGGACGATAAATAATTCCATTTGCGAAACCGCGAATCGAGAACAGGATTATTATGATGCAGATTTGACGTCCGACGAAGGGGGGATCGACGGAACAGCTTTGTTCTTTTTTTTTTTATATCGGAACCACGTCGAGTGGAAAGACCGTCTTTTGGAACCTTTGCTCCGTGTATTTTTTTCCTCGCCTTCTCTGTTTTCCTTTGCCGAAGCTCGAAGTGCATCTTTCTGGAAATTGATCGAACGAAAAAAGGAAAAACGATTGGTTGTAAAAATAGTGAAAAATCGTCGAGTAATAAGAACTTGGCTTAAAATCGATGTATAAAATGCATCGGTGTTTTCCATCGGAGTAACTGTACTGAAACGAGCGAGCGCGGCCATCAAAGGGGCGACCCCGTACGCCCCGTAGGGGTTAGTTTATTAAAAGAATCCCCTTTCAAGAGCAGAGCTCAACGGAATCGCGCAAAAACCCTCGAAACGACGTGCGCTTTTTTTCATAAACGAAAATTATGATCCTTATAAACTTTCCCCTCGAAACAGAGCTTAGGAACTCACGCTCCTCTAATAAAGCAATCGTCGTTCGACAAATCGAATCTGTTATGCCAAGTGCAATTTTATATTTTCGCGCCTTTTATTTACTTTTATTTATAGCAGTCTTTATCTACAGTGTTCGCTATACTGCAAGCCTTATTCTAATAAATAGTTCAACTGATATAAGTATA